GAGGGCATTTAAGCTATGCCAATAATTACAGCAACAGTCTTGGCATTAACATATTCCTACAACTTTTTAAAAAATATATATTTTACTGATTTTTTACAGAGAGAAAGGGAAAGGGATAGAGAGTTAGAAACATCGATGAGAGAGAAACATCGATCAGCTGCCTCCTGCACACTCCCTACTGGGGATGTGCCCGCAACCAAGGTACATGCCCTTGACCAGAATCGAACCTGGGACCCTTGAGTCCGCAGGCTGACGCTCTATCCACTGAGCCAAACCGGTCAGGGCACCTACAACTTCTTTAAGGTATTAAATATTCATAGCTACTGACAAGATACATGAGCAGATCTTAATTATTGGGCCTATGGGCTTCAGATAATCAAATCTATTGATCACTCACCCATCCTCCCTGCAGCAAAAGAACAAGTGAAGTGTGCTGTCCTGGCTGGGGAGGACTTCTCACCAAGTCAAATAGGATCATGATGTCAAACTTGCCAACTGAGCCGTATCCCTGTTTTCATCTGAGTAATTTACTTTGTACTTATTTGATTTACCCAGAAAAGCAATAAGTTTTATAGTTGTTATTATGCCGTTTGAAAGTCATACAGTTAACTACAAAAATCACCAAACCTCTTCTTTACTTTATGGCCAGCAGACTTGGCTTTGGAATGTGCCAAATCCCAAAGTGAATGTTCTCATTAGATGACTTACCATAACTGTAGTTTTTGCTCAGATATGTTGCCAGAGTTGGCTTCACTTTTTTGCACTTGCACCGGTCTAAAGAAGGCAAGAGAGAGACAAAATGTTGGAAAAGGAGTCAGAGAAGTCATTCTGGGGAGAAAAAAAATGCTGAGTCTTGAGGACAAAGAACTCACCCGGGCTTAGGCGTTTACAGTCGACGTCAAGAGGCCTTTCCTGTACCATCATGTCTGGTGTGATATCTATCCACTTCGCATCTGAAACACACACAGGGTCACACGGGTGTGGTCAGTGATTTTGGTCAGTTCGCCCAGCTGGAACAAGGAACCACCTAGAGACATAAACTAATGCAGCATCACACACACACACACACACACACACACACACACACACACTAAATAGTAAAAATGGCATGCGATTGTGGACTATTTCTTTCACATGGACATCCCTGGGTTTGGGAAAGACTTTCAGGTGAGACTGCCTTATCCAGCACAAAATGCTGTGAACACACATCCATTTAACTTTCTAATACATACAGCCAACCCGGACAAATTACGCCATTCCTTTTCAAATCCATTTTAAAATGTTGATCAGCTTATACTAAACAAAATAGCCAGAGTATTTCCAAATCCCCACCTTACATTTTGCAGTGCAGAAACAGTCCATAGCTGCATAATCCAAAACAAGTACAATCCTCTGTCATTTATATAAGTAAAAAAAGATAGCTTTTTCTTAAACTGAATTAAAGAGGCGTTTTGATTTTTTCCCTCCCTTTGTAAGCACTTCACTTTACTTCCCTTCCTTCCTGTTTTGGTCAGTGCTCTGAGGGGTATGCATAACTTGAGGCACTACACACCATAATCTCTTTGAATGTGCGGCCAGCTGGGTCAGGGGTAAGAAGAATGCAAAAATATTCTTAGGTTTCACTTCAACAAGTGGACTTAAACCTGCTCCTTCTTCCTAGGAAAACAGCAAAATGACCAAGGCAAAGGAAGGGAGTGGAAAATGAGATCCAGTGAACTAAGATGCCGCAAATGTTGGCTCGTGGTTAAAGATCATTAGACAGACATCCCAACTTTCCAGGGTGACTAAATTCACAAGTGCACTGCTGTGGGGAGCGATGCCTGGAAATGCGTTTTCAGGAAGTGATGCTTGGAAATGCTTTTTCAGAAAGAGCTTTCAAGAGCTAACATTAAGGGGAGAATCCTGGTGGGATTGCTTTAAAGATGAAAGGAACTCTAACCGGCTTGGCTCAGTGGATAGAACCTCGGCCAACGGACCGAAGGGCCCCGGTTCGGTTAGATTCTGGTCAAGGGCACATACCTGGTTGCAGGTTCCATCCCTGGCCCTGGTCCGGGCTTGCGAGCGCGGGAGGCAAGCAATTGATGTCTCTCTCTCACATCCATGTTTCTCTCTCTGTCTCTCCCTCTCTCTTCTACTCTCTCTTTCTCTCAAAAAAAAAAAAAATCAATGGAAAAATATCCTCTGGTGAGGATTAACAAAAACAAAAACAAAATATTTTTTTTTAAAAAATTAAAGGATACGTGTAAGGTGCTTAACGCTGGCTCAGGCCCACCTTAAGACCTCCATTCCTTTTGACTGCTGCTGCTATGACTATCCCGTTATTACTGTAAATGAAGCCGTCCCCAGTGGCTCCCTTTGTAAGCAAAATCCGCCCCCCTTAATGGGACAGGGTGTTCTTCCGCTCTGAAATCCCTACGGAGAAATCAGACTATTCTAGAAGTGAAGTCACCAGCCCTGCTCTGGGAGGTAGGATGGGGGAGGGGCCGACCGACCACCTGCGGGCAGCTGTCGGTGCGGCAGACGGTTCTCCCCGGGCAGCGACCGCCAAGGGGGTGTCCTCATCCCCCTCCGTCCTTCCCCTGGCCTCACCCTCTGGGAGGTCAGTGACGATGGCCTCGGGCGAGATGCACACGCCGCGGTCGTAGACCGGCAGGTCGTCGCAGGCCAGGCTCTCGGGCCAGCTGTGGTTGTACATCTTCATGAGGGGCTCGCAGTCGTCGCGCGCGCGCTGGCACACCGACTTGCAGGGCTTGATGGGGTCGTGCAGGAACTCCAGGGTGCAGATGGGCGCGTACATGGCGCAGAGGAAGAAGCGCAGCACGGCGCTGCAGTTCGCGTCCACCAGCTCCTCGTACTGCTCGATGGCCAGGATGGCGTTCTCCTGCGTGCTGTGGTGCAGGTGGTTGGGCATCCGCGTGATGTTCCAGGGCATGTGCCGGCACATGGGGATGCGCACCGCCTCGCACGGGGCGCCGCGCACGCCCAGCGCCAGGCGCAGCCACAGGCAGAGCGCGGCCAGGACCGAGAGGAGCATGGCACCCACCCCGACAGGCGGAAAGGCGCTTCTCTTCCCCGACTCCCTCCCGATCTTTCTCTCTCCCCTCTCCGAGGAGGAAGTCCTTTAGGGCACAGGACCCCCAAACTCCCTGGGCAGCAACGCGGGGCGCTGGGGCTGGCCGCGGGTGTCCGCCCTCTGGAGCGCAGCGCACGATCGGCGCCAGACCTCGGCCTCCGGGGCGCGAACCAGCACTGGCAGCCCCAGTCCCGGACGGGGCAGCTCCAAGCGCAGCCGGCCACGGCCATTGCGGGACCCTATTTATCCCGATACCTCCCCTGACGTGGGCTCGGAACGCTCCCTTGGCAGCAGCGGCGCGGCGCGGGCTCCCCCTCCGCCGCTCCACCCCCAGCCCTCTCTTGGCAGAAGCGGTGACATCATCTCCTCCGGGCCGCAGCCCTGGGTTGGAATCTGACATTCCCCCAGCAAAGTCCCTCCTTTTGGGTCTGGCCCGTCCTTTCTCTTCCGACCAAGAAAAAGCGCCTCTGGCTGTCGTTTTGGACACCGGATCCCCAAGGGTGCAAGAGAGGATTTCAAGAGAAAAACAGATGCTCTTCTGAGTCAAAGCTGAACTTTGCGCCTTATGCCTAATACTCTAAGGCTTATAGGTTCCCCACGTACACAGTTGGAGGGAAATAGGGACTTCCGCGGCCCTTTAATTCTGAAAAATACCTGCTCCCTCCAGTAGGGGGCGAGAGAAGCGCTGAGTAGTGACATTGTGTGTGGGATGGGAGGGCGCAGTAGTAATTGTCGGCAGAGGATGTAAACAAATCACCCCCGCTCCGCCCCACGTTGTATGTAGTTTGTTTTGTTGTTATTGTAGTGGCTAATTGACATTAGTTGGGGCTCAAGCATTTGGTCTCTACCAGCTCCAGTAACAAAGCTGCCTAAAGGTTCAATAGCATCTTCTAGTTTGAGAAATGTCTTCCATCTACCAACTTTTCCCTTTCTTCTTCTAACTCCCACTAGATGCCACTGGCAGCTTAGTCCCCACCCCACTGTGACAATTTAAACGTTTCCAGATACTGCCAACTGTCCCCTGGGGGGAGGGGCAAGGCCTCTCTGGGTGGAGAACTGTTTTACTCTTTGGCTTCAGTGACTACCTAGATGCCAATGGTTCACCATCCAGATCTCTGCCCTGGCTGGTCTCTGAAGGTGGAAACTGTCGCTGGGCTGTTTCCACCGGTCTATCCCACAGTCATCTCAAAATCAATTCTGAACGGAATTTATCTTTTCTAGCTCAGGACTATTCAAATCCCAAACCAGAACCCTCTCTGAGTCTAAATCCTTCTCCGTAGCTCCCAACTCTGTTCCACCCTCTGCATTCCCACTATCACCACTTTACCTCTAACGCAGTGGTTCTCAACCTTCCTAATGCCCTGACCCTTTAATACAGTTCCTCATGTGGTGGTGACCCCCAATTTCATTGTTACAAATTGAACATAATTAAAGCACAGTGATTAATCACAGAACAATATGTAATTATATATGTGTTTTCCGATGGTCTTAGGCGACCCCTGTGAAAGGGTCGTTCGACCCCCAAAGGAGTCGCGACCCACAGGTTGAGAACCCCTGCAAGTCTAATGGCATCTCTTGTCCTTCTTCCCACCTTCTGCCTGCCCTGCCTATTCTCCACAGTGACACCCGAGTGAGCTCCCTCAGGCATCAGCAAGGGACTCTTCTTTCCACTTTTCATTTGGAGGAAAGAGATGGCAATTTTAGCCAAAGGAGCAAGGCATGTGGGCAAAACAAGCGCAGCAGTACTGCATTCCTCACCTGGATTTTGCTCCCCAGGATGGGGGACCTGCTGAACAGTTAAATGAGTGAAGAAACATATTCCTTTGCACCGTGCCCTCCACCCTCCACTTTTTAAACTTGGATGCCCTTCAGGGTGCTAGTGGCACCGCTGTCACTGCATTTCCTGTTGGCAGCAGAGAGCAAGTGAAAACCGAGGGCAGCGGCCTGGGCAGAAACAGCTCCTGCGCGATTCCCCGGAGCCTTCCCGGGCCCGGGCCGGCTCCCGCTCTCCAGCATCTCCATCTCCACAGCTGCAGTGGCCGCCACAGGGACAAACAGCCACTTCGACCAGAGGACTCGTAGGCACAGCGCAGGGAACCAGTCCCCCGCCGCCCGCTGCTTGGCGCCCCCTTGGTCTCGGGCTGGCCTGGGCGGGGCGGCGAGCCGGGTGGACCGCGATGCCGGGGCGCGCTCCCCTCCGCGGGGCCGGGGGCGCCCTGCGCGCCTGGCTGCTGGGCGGCCTCTGGGTCTGGGGCCTGGGCGGCCTGGGCGGCCTCGGGGCGGGCGCGCTGGGACCGGACCCCTGGGGGTCCCCGGGGACGCCGCGTCCTTGCCGGGCGCCGCAGCAGTGGGAAAGGCGCCAGGTGCTGTACCGGCAGAGCAGCGGGCGTTACAGCCGCGCCCTAATCTCCTACGACGGGCTCAACCAGTGCGAGCGGGTCCTGGATGAGAGGAAGGCGCTCATCCCCTGCAAGAGGTACGCGGGGCGCGGGGGGCGGCCGGGTGGGGTCAGGCGTCGGGGGCTGCTCGCTGACGCCGGATTTCCAGCTGCTCACGGCGCCTCCTTTCTACCAAAGAGAAACTTTGCCAGGAGCCTAGATCCGGTTGGGGTTGGGTGGAGGACTGGGCCCACCCGGGGCTGCCTGCTGGAGGCACTAAATGAGGCCCCGAGGGGCGGTGGCCAGTGCAAAGGGAGCCTGGCGGGAGCGAGATCATACTACCTGGCAGGCCCCAGGCTCTTGGAGCCCTCTGCGGCCTAGGGCCTGTCTTCTGCCCAATTTCTTCCTGGAGCGATCTGTGAGGGAGGCACCCAGAACATAGATTTTTAAAGAATTAGTCTTTACCTTTTTTTATAACCCCCACCTGAGAATATGTTTTTATTGATTACTTATTGTTATTATTATTTTTGGGAGAGAAGAAGGGAGAGAGAGAAACATCGATGGATCCATTGCTTCCCCTCTGCACCCTGACTCAGGCTTGCACCTGCAATCTGCGTCTGTGTCCTGACCCAGAATCCAACTACAACCTTTTGGGGTACAGGACGATGCTCCAGCTAACTGGGCCACCTGGCCAGGGGGAGTCTTTACATTTTAAAGGATCTGACACTACAAATAGTGTGGGGAGTTGACCGAAAGAAAAACAATGCCCAGGAATTCATTGCCCTGTTACAAATATTAAAATTTTGGTTTATTCCCTTACATTTTACATCCTGTGATAAAAAACCTGTATTATCTGTATGTTTTTTTTAATATAACATGAGGTCTTATGTGTTTTTATTTGCCATGTTATTAGTTGGCCCCCTATCTATTTTTAAGGGCTGCATAATTCCATGGAAGGGCTATGGCATAAATTTCTTTTAAACCGCTGGTCTATAATTCACCTTTCCATATCTGTTGTGATAAAGGACATCCCCTTTCTGAGCCCTGGTCTTAGTTATGACCCCTTTAAGCCTTGGTTTCTATTTTGGGATCGCCACCTGTCAATTCCACAGCCTTTCCATTTCTCTGTGTTCCTCTCAGGGTTATGCTAGCTTTTCTGTGTCGCATTTGCATCATCAGGAGGCGCCATGTGAATGTCCATGGGCTAAGGCTCCAGCGGGGAATACGATCTGTAGCAAATCTTGATGCCATTTCACCTAAAAGCTTTTGTTGAGTATTAGGCATCGTGGAGAAAGTATGGGATCCTTTCAAAGCAGTACATTCAGGAGTGCAAGCTGATGCTTTATAAAATGTAAAACGGAAGTGCTAGAAGGCCTGGAGCGGCCGAGTCATCGTAGGGTCTGGGAATATCTGTGAGGCCTTTCAAGAACATGAATGTTTTCGGGTAGGTCTCCAAGGACGTAGTAATAATAATAGTAACAACCAGCATTTGAGCACTTGCTCCATACCAAGCAGGTGCTGAGGACTTCACATGTATTGTATGGTTTGGTTTAAATCTCACAAGACCTTGACAGTATAGGATTTATGATACTTATTTTACAGATAGAGAAGCTGAGGTCTAGGGAGACAAAACACCTTTAAGTCACACAACTGAACTTGAGGAAGCAGGGCTGGCATTTTCCATCTGTGTTATACATTTGTTTGTTCATTTATTCACTTACTATACCTGCATTTGTGTTTGTGTGTGGGGGCACTGTGTGTAAACAGGCTTCAGGGAGGTCACAGTCTGGGGGTGGAGTCACACACATAAAAAATTTCCATACAGGGAGAGGCGGGATGGTTTGCATGATGAGACTGCCTCAGATGGGCACCTAACCCAGGTGTCCTGGAGAAGGGGAAACATGAGTGAGTCCTAAAGCCCCTGTATAAGCTGACCAGAGGAGGTGTGGAGGGAACAATGGTTCAGGGGGATGCGAGTGTATCCCAGGTCCAGCTTGTGTGCCATTCTAGAGCAGACATGACTGAGTATATTCCAAGAACTGCAGGCCAATCACTGTTAGGACTGAAGCACAGAGTATGATGAGAGGTTGGGGGTCCACTGAAGGATTTTTAAACAGTGGCATGGCATGATTGGATAATATTGAGATCATTAGATGCAAGGTTGAGAATGAAGGAGAGCAAGAGTAGAAGCAAGAGCATGCCCTAGGAGAGTTTTGTAGAGGTCTAGGTGAGAGACAGGTAATGGCAACGGCGACAGTGAGAAGTGGACACAATAGGGAAGTGTTGAAGAGGTTTGTTGAAGGACATGCAAATGATAAGACAGTGTGTGGCTAAGGTGGTGATGGAGAGGGAAGCATCATTTGGCTTCTGAAGGTAACATATGATGGCATGGAATAAATGGTGATGCTGTTCACTGAGATAGGGTTTGACCTTCTGCGCTTCTAGTTAAGGATTGATTGCTACACTTCACGTGCATTGATGTGGAGGCTGGTACAGTAGTGGTGTATTGATGAACAGTCATGTTGAAGATGAACTGGATGGCCCAAAGCACACAGTAGAAGCAGAGAAGAGTGTGGCCCAGAGAAGGATCGGGTTTACTCTGAGATCGTGTTTTAAAATTTTAAGAGATTAAGCTTTAGAGTCAGACAAATCTGGGTCTGAATCCAGATTCCTAATGTGGGTTTCTGGGTAAGTTACTAAAGCTTTCTTAATCTTAGGTTCTTCACTTATAAAATGGGAATAGTAATAACGCCTAGTTTATTGGATTGTTGTGGGATTAAAAGAGTTCAAGTGGGAAAAGCACATAGTGCAGTGTCTGACACAGAGGTTGCTCAGCACATGGCCATGCTGTCCCTGTCACCACCATTATCATCACCATCCTGGTGAGTTAACCATGGCCCAGAGACTCATTGCCAGCCCTGTGAGCTCAGAAACCTGATCCCTCAGGGCACCCCAGGGCCCTTCCTTTGGGAGCTGAGTTGATTAAGCAAATCCAAATGCTAAACTGTATATTTCAATGAGTGCTGTAGTCGGCATGGGGGCCAGGATTCTCAAATCCACAAGAATTGAGAATTCTCTCCCTGTAGGCCGAACTGTGTGGGAGCCAAATTATAATCAGGAGATTGTGAGCAAAGAGTTGGAACAAATTCATTGGATCTAATGATTGCCTGCTCTAGGCTAGGCTGTAAGCTCAATATTGAGCTTTCCATCATAACACAAGCCAGCTCAGAGTAATCAGGCTAAGATAAAGTGGCGCATTCATTTTCACTATAGACATGCTTTGTCACTGGTTCATTGCTAGTCCAGGTTCCCCCCACTCTGCACAGAGCCTTGGCGGGTCTTACTCAGGTCTGTCATAGCAACCTTTCTTCCTCTATGACTCCATGACGGACAGATATGGTCTTTATGTGTGTGTGTTGTATCTTTAGTGGAGTCACAGCCAAGTCTTGCTGGCCTGGAAGCTTTTTTGTTCCATGTGGTGATTTCTTATTTCCTGCCCTTGATCCATCAAGTGTTGGTTGCACAGTTTAACTTTTAGAAGATAATTTTATTCCCCCTCTTTCCAATTTCTTGGCAGGGTTCTATCTCACAGTCCTATCTCTGGCCCTAAGTCGGATGTAGAAAAGAATGTTTAATGCATAGATACATTTTAAAGCTTTTTAAATGTAGATTGGTTGGAACAAACTCAGGAACTTTTTCATGTATTAGCAGTCTGGCCAAGAAACCAGATGTTATTTGAAGAAAATATGGATGGGTTGTCTCTTCATATTTATTAGTAAGTTGAGAAGTAAGTTTTAGAATTGGATCAACTTCTTAAGGTTTTTATTTTGCATTCAGATAGTTATGGAAAATACTATTGACAGTTACTATTGAGTGACTAGGATTTTCCAGGCTCTTTTTACCCTGAGAGGATGGAAAAGATTAAACAACTTTACAAGCTTCAGATAAGACAAGACTTAGCAGAGAATGGGAAATGTTAGTATTTGATACTATTTTGTTATTTTTTTTGTCTCAACTGTCTCTTCTGACTCCTTGATTAAACTCATAAGTATTACATTTAAAGACTGAAGGAAAACATGAAGATTATTTCATAATCAGTCAACATGTTGAACTCTATGGAAGGAACAATGTAGATACTGAATTTATTAGGTTGCCCATAACTTGCTGCTCCCACTTATGAAATGGTGCCTTAGAGTGTTGCAATTGACGAAGCTACTCATGTAGAGTGAGCAGACAAGCATTAAGAAAATATGGATTGCGCCCTGACTGGTTTGGCTCAGTGGATAGAGCGTCATCCTGCGGACTGAAAGGTCCCAGGTTCGATTCCGGTCAAGGGCATGTACCTTGGTTGCGGGCACATCCCCAGTGGGGGGTGTGTAGGAAGCAGCTGATCGATGTTTCTCTCTCATTGATGCTTCTAACTCTCTATCCCTCTCTCTTCCTCTCTGTAAAAAATCAATAAAATATATTTTTAAAATAAAAGAAAATATGGATTGATAAGTGAGTGATACTATCTTAGAAGACTATTCAACAACTTAATCTCAAAATGGGCAGAGGACCTGAACAGACATTTCTCCAAAGAGGACATACAGATGGCCAGTAGACATATGAAAAGATGCTCAGTATCACTAATCATCAGAGAGCTGCAAAGTAAAACCACAATGATATGTCACCTCACATCTGTCTGAATGGCTATCATCAATAAATCAACAAACAACAAGTGTTGTCAAAGATGTGGAAAAAAGGAAACCCTTGTGCTCTGTTGGTGGGATTGCAAATGGGTGCAGCCACTATGGAAAACAATAAGGAGATTCCTCAAAAAATTAAAAATAGAACGACCATATGACCTAGCAATCTCTCTTCTGGGTATTTATCTGAAAAAATCCAAAACACCATTTTTTAAAGATATATGCACCCCTATGTTCATTGCAGCATTATTTATAATAGCCAAGATATGGAAGCAACCCTAGTGCCCATCAACAGAATAGTGAATAAAAAAGAAGTGGTGCATATATACAATGGAATATTACTCCGCTATAAAAAAGACTGAAATCTTACCATCTGCATCAACATGGATGGACCTAGAGGGCATTGTGTT